GAAAAGGAACATGTCAATAGCGATGTGTGCCTAACAAAGTGCCCGAGTACCAGATGTGGATTTACTTCTGAGGTATCGCCTCTTTGTTTCCGTGTGTGGTATAGCTGCGTTGCTCATTGTTTTTCAGAGTCAAGTACCTACACTTTGATAAATAAAGCCTGAGCCTGGAGGCACAAAGTGTTGATTATATCCCAACACGGGCGCCCGCTGCGCACCGCATCAGGGCGCTGCAAGTATGATATATGTCCTGCGAGCATATATATTATGAAAAGCCACACACTGCAGGAATGCATGAGTGTGGAAAATGACAAGACCAAAAGAAGAGAAGAGAATTCGTTGAACCAACGAGGGATTGATAATGAAAAGGAACATATCAGTAGCGATGTGTGTGCCTGACAAAGTGCCTGAGTACCAGATGTGGATTTACTTCTGAGGTATTGTCTCTTTGTTTCCATGTGTGGTATAGCTTCATTGTTCATTCAACTTCCTTGTTTTTTAGTTGTTCAAGTACCTACACTTTGATAAATAAAGCCTGAGCCAGGAGGCACGAAATGTTGATTACTTCTCAGAAAAAAAAAAAAAAAAAAAAAAAATGTTGATTAGATGCCGAGCGAAACGCTCGAGCTTACAGTTGTGAATCCGTCAAGATTTGAACTCGTGTGGATGGTACTCGGTCCCAAGGCAGGGTTACTTTTGCTCATCTTGCACTTGTTTCAGGAAGCTTGATCGCCTTTCTCTGTAATTTGATATTGTCACTGTTTTGAAATTTGATATATCTCAAACCACCAGTCCCTCGCATGGCCGGGAAATGGCACTCCCGTGAATGGGCTGTGACGTGGGAGAGGGGGCGACAGGAGATTTTTTTCGGCCTACAAAATGTTAATAGTTTAACTTTGGTACCCACGGGCCTAGCGCAGTCGGTACACCCACGGTCACGAACTGTGAAACCAAACTACAGACCCAAGTTCGAATCCACACGCAATCGGATGACCAGAAAACAAAGGCATGGCCGGTCAGTTCCATGATGATATCTCCTTTTTTTTTTTCCTTTTTTTTTTGTTTGAAGTTTAACTTAGGCTAATACTCTGAGGTGAAATTGGGTTGTTATCAGCGGTTAGCGGTACTGTGTTTTTTTTAATTTGCTTGTTCTGGTTGCTAAGGTTTCGTTTGGCTTTGAACGCAGTAGTTTCGAGCTGACGCCGCTATGATTGTTGTGTAGCAACTACTAGCAAGTGGATATAACCAGCATTGACCCAGAACAGCTGGGCCCAGTGTTGAGTACCTTTTGCCGTAGCGATACTGTGTTTCTGTGTTGTGGTTAGTTTGGTGACAGGGTTGTTGTTAGCGGTTAGAGGTACTGTTTTTTGATCCAGTTGTTTTGGTTGCTAAAGTTTTGTTTGGCGCTAAGTATAGGAGTTTCGAACTGATGTCACTATGATTGTTTTGTGGCAAAAGGATATGACCAACATTGAACCAGACCAGCTGGGCACAGTGTTGAGTACTTTTTTGCGGTAGTTTCGGGGTCGTCTGAACCTAAGGCTGTAGTAGCTCGAGTGATAGTCTACCCGCTGGGTCCCGGGCACCCTGGCCGCAGTACGGGGTACCTCTTTTGGAAGAATCCTGTATTTTGCCTCGGCGGTACTATTCATGCTTTCCGATAAATAGAATAAGTGCAAATTAGTTAGGCCTCTTACGGGACGACAGCTATCAACGCCTCCTCGCGCTTAGCTGACGAAGGTTTAGCGGAATGAACGGAGGTTCCTGGGTGTGTGGACTGTACGGTGTCGCCGTAATTTTCATTTTTTTTCATTTTTTTTTAATGTGGACCATTTCTCGATTTATGCGTGGCATCCTTGCACAGGGGCCATGCTAATCTTCATTCTCTGTATCGTTCCAATTTTAACGGATGTCCCGAAGGACCGTATTGCTGTAATTTTCTATGATTTGTACTTTGCCAATTCTTTGTCTCTACTTTTGTCTTCGCGACTGAGTTGATGACTAGATTGGAAATGCTTTACTTGTATGGCGTGATTTCCTGACTACTCTAAATTGGGTCCTACAATAAATGAGCACCAAGACATCAGTATATGGGTTCTGCATAAAATCACAAGGCTCACAGATCTGATTTAGGAGTTACTATGGCTTTCAAAGGGGGTTGAACTAGGCTGCAGTAAGGTAGGGGGGGGCTATTTTCAACATCTTATTTGTTTTTTGCAATGACTTTGCGAGACGGAGTAGGATGTATTTATAAATCGAGGTTGTAAAGGCTACCGCCTTCACCTGAATAGAACACCCGGTCATTATAGCTGCATTTGGCACAACTTTCAGTCCAGATGCAGCGATAATGAGCTGGCGTTTTATTTGGGTGAAGACTGTAGTTGCTGTTTTGTCCTGAGACCGAAATCATACAGACGTCAAATTCCATACACCGTGGGCAGTAATCAATGCCTCGATCACTCTTTTTCGGTAAGTGCGGCACTAAGGGCATACTCACATTAAAAAAAAAAAAAAAAAGGATTTCTTTACTTATTTATGGACATAATTGCGGTCAGTGTTAATGAAAAAAGAAGGCCGGTTAAAGGAAAAAGAAAAGAAAGAAAAACGAAAAAAAAAGAAAGTTACAATGTTTAGTTGTGGGTCCTTCGAGACATTCGTTAAAATTTGAACAATTTTCAGAGAAGGATGGCATGGCCCCTGCGCAAGGATGCCGCACATAAATTCGGTAATGGTCCAAAATTCTCCAAATTGGCAAATTAAATTAATTAATATTATATAATTAAAAAAAAAGGTTTAGTTGCGGTGGACGTTTACATTGCATTTGTGTGTTGTTTCTGGGACTTCCTTCTGCCACAGGTCATCTTTTTTGAACAAGATTGGAATCCTCAGTGTGATAAGCAAGCTGTCCAACGTGCCCATCGGATTGGTCAGACAAAGCCTGTTCTTTCCATAAACCTTGTTGTTTGTGACACCGTCGAAGAGGTAGGTAGTATTGCACATAGCAGTCTCTCACTTGTTTGAGGGGTTCTTTCATCATCCTGTACGAAATGTATATGCTTTAGAGTTTAAATATTCTGCCAGCATATTTTGCCTCCTGATGCAACCAACTTTGTGTACCCTCATTTTGTCTTTTGTAGTAAATTTGTACCTTGTGAGAGCCACAAAGAGCGATTTTTTTTTTTTGGGGGGGGGGTCGGTTCGAATCTAAGTTTCCCTGTTCTATGATTATCAATTACGAGTTACAACGAACGGACATGTCAGTCTTGACAACTGAAAAATGGGCCGCTAGCCGCTAGCTGTGTTACCAACCGGTCCGCCTGGTTCACCTTTGTTGCCCGGGCGACCAGGCCGGGTCCGTGCGTGTAACACTAAGTCCCCTGATGATGGCTGCTTCAGACACAGCCGAAACGCGTAGGGACATCCACGTCTTGGGAGCTTGTGCCCATCTCTCTTTTTTTTTCATTCGAAAAAAGCTAGCCAAGCTGCGCTATGTTTTGTGTGGTCTTACTCTCCGCTATCTCATCTTTATTCTCCCCATCCTCACTCTTTCTTCTCCTTCTTTCCTCGGCGTTTACCTCTATTTCTTCATGTGTGTGTCATTTTCTTATTTTTTCTTATTTGTGCATTGTCTTGTGTCGAGCATCTGTTTTCATCGAGTACATTTATTCAACTGTCGGCAAGCTGTTGGCTATCGGATTGGAATGCTCCGAATGCTGTGTGTGTACTTCGTCAACTTCCAATCAGGTTGGGCAAGGGCCAGGGAAGGTCCCTGTTATTAAAAAGAAAAAAAAGAAAAAAATCCAGAAAAAATTATGTTGTGACAGTTGTGCAGAAAATATTTGAAAAATAAACTGAACAACTTTTGCGGCAGGGTCGGATCAAAATTATTTGCCAAATTATAAAACAAAAAAAAAGCTGTTAAATTTAATTATTAAAACTTATTTTTATTTATTTATTTTTAATTCATTTTGCCAATTTTTTGGCCCGCCGGGACAGAAGTGGTCCCGGCCCGCTAGGCCGAATTCCACAAAATGCGCCATGTACTAGAGACAAAATTCATGTACACTTAGTTAACCATGGTTTGTTTAACTTTGTACTCTTGAACTCTCGTGGTAATAATATACTTGTCCGGCAAGGAATATGACTAACAGTCTAACACACAAACCTTTCTTTTCTTTTTTCCTTTTTTTTTGGCAAACAAGGCTCCAATCTATTCGTGGGGAGCAGCACGTGCTGGGAACCGGGGCCCAGCGTCCCCATGTCATATTCATACCCAGCTTCCGCCAAAGCAAAACACCGACATTGTGACGTTGTATAGTGCCGGAAAAGTGAAAATAATGTGTCAAGTACAGTAACCATTTTGACCTAGGATGTGTTGGCCTCTTCAGCCCCAACAGGCTGCCTACTATTCTATTTTCCCCGAGCCTTAGTATATACATCCCATGCCACTGAGACTCCACCAGGGAGAAAGGGTGTGGGTGAAAGGGGTCACCAAAATCCGACAACGGGCGTAGCTGGATCGACCCATCGATGGCAGTCCACTCATTAAAGAGGAGCTTGTAGACTCTTGATGGGTTTATCGGACTTTATCCTGATCCCTCTCCGCCCTGCCCTTCCTGCCATTGCACCTCGCCTATCCATCCCCCCACTTCCCCCCCCAGCCATCTGTCACACAATTGACGAATTTTCGTATGGAAAAATGTCATATTTTCTTTCACCTCATCCCAATGCACCTGCATGACATTCTGTATATGTTGTTGGATAATCTCTGCCGCTTCCTTTCCATCCACACGCACTCTGTCCATTTCTAAAGTGCAGCATCTGTGCCATAAGGACCGGAGGACTGACCACCTTCCCAGTTCGAACATGTTGAGCACAAATGGGCCGGACTGGTGATGTGTCTGTCTCGTGCAATTCACGCACATACATGCATCTGCAAGCCCACAAAGACGAGGGCGCCAGAGCTCAACTGTTTGGTGCCCAGGCTTGTTCCCGAATCGAAAATCATAAATGCATCTGCAATTCCACAAATGTCAGGACGCCAGAGCTCAACTGTTTAGCGCCCAGGCTTGTTCCTGAATCGAAAATCATGCATGCATCTGCAAGCCCACAAAGGCCAGGACGCCAGAGCTCACCTGTTTGGGCCCCAGGCTTGTTCCTTTTTTTTTTCAAACTTAAAACAGGTCCTTATGGTCCTGGCTCCATGTCCATTCTGGGGAGCATCACTCCTGTTGCTGTCCACCGGCAAGTCGAGAATTGGAATACATGGTGAACACCCTCACGCTTCCTTCCGTCTGGCCAAATGAACCCTGACCAGCATTGATTGCTCCAGAGCAGGAGGATTGACTGTCAGCTTGCCCTGCCATTTTTCCTCACAGAATCCATTGTGATTCTGTCATATAATTTGTGTGCAACAAGAAAAGAGGAGAATTGTCTATATTGCTGAGACTATGATCGCAATTTGCCCATCATTGGGTCGTCGTTCTGGCTGGAGTTTCACTGTGCCATTTCTTCCAGATCAATCTGTTATCTGCCACTGTTGCAATATCTGCCTGTAGAAGCCAGTCTCTCATAAAAGAACGTCTCTTGGAAGCTAGCCTTTCTGGTCTGACTTTCGTTGTTGATGTCACCTCCCTCCATCTGCACCAAATCTCAGTTTCCATCATACCCAGCAGTAGGGCCCGCATTTCTTCCCTTGCCACCTCAGTTCTCGCGATAGTCTCGGTACACCTTCTTCTCCAGATCGCCCACAGAGCCAACTTCCTGAGAAGGTGAAATCAGATTTCCTTGCCCCCTTTGAAGAAGGATGTTTTGAGGAGATGTGGGGAGAGGGGGTGATGAGAAGAGGAGGGACCAAAGCCTGCGGACCTATTTCCATATCCAGGCTGCTTCCCTGCAGTACAAGAGGCAGTGGGATATGTCTTCTGGTCTGTAGTCTGTGCACAACCCACATAATTCGGAGCTGTCGGGATCTGTATGTTTCCTCCTCTTGTGGACCCGTTGGTTGACGGGCAGAGATGCGTGGGGTATGAGCCACTGCATGCTTCGGATCTTAACCGGTCTGATGGACAGGTACTTTGTCCAGGGGATGGAAATGGGGTCTGTAGGTTCTAGGTTCAGGATCTCTCTCCATTTTTCTTTGAGTCTGGGATCCGGGTCTGTGGTCTGTAATCCTAAGTCATATCTGAATTTTACATCGTATTCGAATATCGTTCTTGTTCTTTCGTATTTTCCTTGTTTCCAGATCCGCTCTTTCCGGTCGAATTCGAGGTCTAAAATGTTGAGATCAGGTTGGAAGATTATCTAGGGTTTAGCTTTTGGGACCCTTGGGGCTCTTTGTTCATAATTTCCAATTCTTCTAGGTTGTGATGAGTGATCGGGTATCAGACAAATTTGGAGAGGTAGTTCGGTGCATTGGTTCGAGAGACAAATCGGTATGCTTTGTGAGGCTGAGTCTGGGAAATGAGTATGCCCCAGTCTCTGGATTTCCACGAGAAGTCCTCGCTTAGGAGGGAGAGCCATTGTGTTGGGATGCTCTTTTGAATCTGTGTTAAATTTTCTGTGAGGGTGTGGCAGCCTGTTAAATCGACTCGGAGATCCTCTTCAGTTGACCATTGTTTTCGATCTTCCGCCCAAATGTGTTTCACCTGCCACACTCCTTTTTGACACCCATGATAGCCATATCTTGTCTTTTGAGTGGAGTGTCCAGGATGAGCGACTCAGGTCTACGATCCAGGGGTTGCAGAACAGAGGTTTTCTTAGGACCTCTTCTCTGTTTCCTGGTGCACTGTGTTTGCTCGGCATCATTCTTCGCCAGGCTTTGAGCGTAGGCTTCCAGTATGGATTTTCTGTTGGGATGGGGCTTGTACCAGGATCTGCTGGGTTTCTTCTACGAGGTCTGTCTGATTTGATTGTCCAGTCCTTCACCATTATCCAGAAAAGGCCTTTCATGTTCGGAGGGGAGTTAATAGGTGCTAGATTTCTGATGCTGTCTAGAGCCATCTGTGTCCATGGTATGAATTGTCTTATCAGAAGCTTAATAATCCATTTCATCTGCAATGCTATGGATTCCTGCGGTTTCCTGATGATGTGGTTCCAGGCTACCCTGTTGATACACGTGGTCCTGTTGGGGTCTCCGGTCCATAGATAGCATCTAGCCCTGTTTTTTAATGTGTTGAGGTCGTCGTCGGGGGGGGACCAGATGGATGCCATGTACCACAGTGTGGAGAAGATTGTCGTGTTAATTAGTAAAGCTCTTCTGATTAACGAGGCTTGAGCGTTTTTGCATAAGGCCATGTGAGTGATTGGCCCATGCCTGGCCAGACCCCGTCCTCGTTTACCATGATACCTAGGCTCTTAATGCCTAATCTCCTGTAGACCATGACATGGTTGTGGTTGTATCGGTCGTTTGGGGAGAAGTCCCGTCTGCTAGCCACCATCCTTCAGTTTTGCCCCAATTGACCTTCATTTCCGATGTCAGTCTGAAGGCTTCCATTGCCCTTACGAGGGTTTGGAAAAAGCAGTTGTTGGCACGAATGAGGACGGTGAGGTCATCGGCGAACATTAGTGCAGTGGGTAGGGCGAAGTCGTGTAATGGATTGAAATTGCGTTCAGTGAGGCGGTCGATGGATGGGTCTTTCTGAAGGTAGGAGGCTATGGCTTCCATGATGAAGAGGAAGATGGGAGGAGTCAATGGGTCACCTTGTCTAGCCGATCTTGAGATCGGGTAGGTCTCTGAAAGAATCCGATTGACCTGAACACTGCCTGTTGCGTCTGCATGAGGACTCTAACCCATTCTCTGAATTTGGGGCCTACCCCCATTTTCTCCATGCAAGCATGCAGGAAGTCCTAGTTGACCTGGTCGTAGGCTTTTTCAAAGTAAAAAAACAGGATTGTTGTCGTCATCTGTTTTTCCGTGATATTCTTTGCTGCCTAGTTCAGTGTCATCAAGTTGTCTAGTATGCACCCACCAGGGGTAAAGCCTGCTTGGTCGATATGAAAGCATTTATTTCTTAGTTTTGTGATTCTGTTTGTGAGAGCCTTAACGAGGATTTTGGTAGGTAGTGGTGAGTAGTGATATGGGTCTATAGTTCTTCAGATCTTCTTTTGTCTCCCTTCTTGTGCAGCAGAGACACCAAGTTGGTGCTTAGATCATTGCCTAGGCCTCCCTTCAGCCTGTTGCGTTGAAGAACTCGAGCAGGTCCTCACCTAGGGTCGGCCAGAAGTCGCTCCAAAATTCTTTCGAGAGGTCGTCAATACCCGGAGCTTTGTCATTTCCCATCTGGGTCAGGGCTACGTCTAGCTCAGCCAGGGTTAGGTGTTTGTCCAGACCTTCCGCTTGAGTTGGCGAGATCGTTTTGTCTAGGTACGACAACATGAGTTGATGGGCTGTTAGGTTCGTTGTGGTTGGGGGTGAAGTTGTCTTCGACTTGTATAAGTCTGTGTAAAATGTCCTGGATATCTTGACTATCTCTGTACCTGCTGTTTTGACATTCTCTCGATCTGTTGGATCTTTGAGGCCCTCTATCATGTTGTTCCTGTTGTTGGCTTTGATTCTATAGAAGAAAAATTTAGTCATGGTTTCATTGAGAGTGTAGTCCGTCATCCTGGCGCGTATTCGCAGCCCTCGCAATTCCTATCTTCTCCATTTGTTTTGTTCCTCTTTAGTATCAGTTAGTAGATCCTGGTAGAACTCGCTGAAGGGGTCCTCTGTGAGGTTGGCTTCTGCGACTGAGATGGTGAATTGGAGTTTTCCCCTTCTCCTTTTGCGATCCCCCGCTATGCCCTGTGATTCTGCTGATACTGTTCGGGTTAGGTCTGCGTAACTGTCGATGAACCATTGGTGCCTGTTTGTCTGTCTGAATTCTCACTGTTTTTGGATGGACCAATTTTCTTTGACATCTATAGACAGCCTGTCGGTCGCTAGGAGGGAGTTGTTCAGCCTGAAAAAAAACATGTCCTGTTTCGACAGGTGAGTTGAAATTGAGCAGCAGTTGAATGGGCCTGTGGTCCAGTCCTTTGCAGGCGTTTGAGGGACGGATTTCAGCTTCTTTGATTGCGCCTTGTAGGCTCTCAGGGGTCAGGAAGTAGTCAATCCTGGACATTGAAGTCTGATTAACTTGGTTCTTTCAGATCCGGGAGAAGTTTTTTTTGGTTTTTTTTGTCCGGATGCGACGCCCTGAACGGATCGATAACTTCAAATTCTGTCATTAGATTCTGTATCCGGGTTCCTGCTCTTGTGGGACCCATTAATACTGTCCTAGAGATCCCGTCCAAGTTGGGATCCGGACCCGTGTTCCAGTCCCCTGCGATGATAACTGGTTGCGCGTTGGGGATAAGAGGTTTGATGTTCTCAAAGAAAATCAGTCGTTCGGGTTTTGCGTTGGGTGCATATAGGTGAGGATTCTCAGCTCTTCCTCTTGCCATCATATGTCTACCATGACCATCTTCCCTCCTCGCTGTCTCCCTCGCTGTTCAAGATTTGACCTTCGGTCAGAATCTTGGACGTCCTTGGTATGAGAATTGCAGTTCCTTTCTTACTCAGACCCTCTTTGTTGGCCCATCGGGCGAAGGCGCATCCACCTGCTGTCTTTTCCATGGTTTTCTGTATTCTGGTGTGGTTGTTAAGATTAGATAGGTGGGTCTCTTGAAGTATTATCACGTCGGGTTTTGGCTGATCTTTTCCTATCAGACCGAGGCGAATGTCCTAATTTTAATCATTTTATCTTCCTCGGCTAAGACTCTCCGTAGACCGTCGACTTTCTAGCAAAGTATTTGGAGGCCCTTGGCATGCCAGTTGGTCTTTGGTGAGTTGCCTTGACCATATCTAGAGTTTGTGAGCCTATGCATTGTCTGATTCATCATCCCCCTCTTTATTCTTTTTTTCTTTTTTTCTCCCTAGGCTTGTTCCTGAATCAAAAATATTCTGGAACTATTATTCATCGCCTTTCTCGGCATGGTCTGGTGACTCAAATCCCAGTAGAAGCTTCTATGGGACTGGGATGTACTTGGTCTGCTTAGCATATCATATTCATGTCAAGTTTCAAAGCCTTACTGCACAAAATATTCCCAAGACCTTCCTTCTCCAGGCAACTACGTAGCTCCCCAACTTTGTTGGAATTTTAAATTTTTGCATATCTTATGAAGGAGAAAAGTGGACAATGGACAACATCTTTGCAGAGAAAGAGAAAAGTGTGCTGTGGAGGATGGAGGGGAGAGAATGGAGGAGAGATTCTGGTCCTGTACAGGCACTTGGAACTCTTTGAGACTTTGCACTTACTAGGAACAACGGTGTTCTTTGAAGTTATGTATGTATGTGTATATGTCTGCATGTATGTATGTATGTATGTATGTATCTATTGGCTCTGCACGCAGTCGTGCGCTTGGTGCATCCAGCAGGTTATGTGCTGTGGAGGATGGAGGAGACTATTTTCTGTACCCCTGTATGCTTTGGAAGTCCGTGCCAGTCATGATGAACCTAGTCCATAAGAACCTAAATGTCCACCGCCCCCCCCCTGACCCTTTCAGTGATAGGGAGGAGCGTGATTCCGTTTCTGTATGATCTCTGGGTGCTTGAAGATTATAATGAAAGCATCCCATACAGAGCTGAATTTTGGGGGTGGAAGGAATGCACCTAGCCCACATGGCTGAATGGTACACATGTGTAACTGTTAGTGAACAGATCATGGGTTCGAATCCTGAACGGATCAGACGGATTCAATTATATTGGGGGTTACCCGCTTTTAAAAAACAAAGGGACAGAAGGTATGTGATTCTGTGTCACTAATGGTTAATACTACTAAATAGGTGATGATGTCATTTTCGGTGAAATTTTCACCGAAACTGCCATATTCCCCTGATTTTTTTTTTTTTTTTTTTTTTTTTTT